AATGTACAAATGTGCTTGACACAATGGATGGATGTATGGATTGTGATAAGAATTGTACGAGCCCCCAATAAAATGATTTTTAAAAATAAAGTAAATGTCTTTAGTTCTAATAGAATGTTCTAGGTATTGAAGTAATTCAGCTATTAAGATTCAAATTTTATCTAATTTTGAAGGCTTCGTTTCTGTTACAGATTATTATATTGATAATAGGTAGAAATATGCTTAGATTAAAGGGTTTTCTGAAATTATTGATATCTGCCATTGTGGTTTTTTTGTGGGAGAGAAATTTTTCTATAAATATGAAGTAGAACTTTGATTTTTGGTAGGGGGCATATAATCTTTGTATCTCATTCAATTGAAATGTGATTTTCCTCAATTGTGCTCAATAATAGATGATTTCTAATAAAGTTATGACTGATATTATTTTCCTATAAATATGTTTGGTCATTTTTTTTCTTTTACTTCAGGTAATATGTATATATAAATTGATTATTATTAAAAACCACCCATACTGGTTATTTTTGTTTCTCTCACATTCTTTTAGAAGGCATTAGGGTAGCATAGTCAGTTACTATTTCTGATTTTTTTTTTTGGTGTGTGCATATTTGCCTTTTAAAGGAATTATTAAGATGTAATATAGTTTTTGTTTTGTTTTGTTTTTCTGTATTCCCTTGGCAGACAGTAGAAAAGGAAATGGCAGTCCCTAGTCATGTGTGCATTCGCCGCTGGACTACCAAGCATGTTGCTGTTTGGCTGAAAGATGAAGGCTTTTTCGAATATGTGGACGTCTTATGCAACAAGCATCGACTTGATGGAATCACATTGTTAACATTGACTGAATATGATCTCCGGTCTCCTCCTCTGGAAATCAAAGTCTTAGGGGACATTAAAAGGCTAATGCTCTCAGTTCGCAAATTGCAGAAAATACATATTGATGTTTTAGAAGAGATGGGGTACAACACTGACAGTCCCATGGGTTCCATGACCACTTTTGTCAGCGCTCTTCAGAGTTCAGACTGGCTTTGTAATGGTGATCCTTCACATGACTCTGATGGACCCATCCCTGACTTGAATTCTGATCAATATCAGTACATGAATGGTAAAAGCAAACATTCTGTTCGAAGACTGGACCCAGAGTACTGGAAGACCATATTGAGTTGTATATATGTTTTCATAGTATTTGGATTTACATCCTTCATTATGGTTATAGTCCATGAACGAGTTCCAGACATGCAAACCTATCCACCACTTCCAGATATATTCTTAGACAGGTAAGTATTGTTCCTGATTAATATGTTTGTAGAAAGTTGCTGTAAAAGTGTTAATAATATATTTATGATAAAACTATGTTGTTCATTATTGTTATTGATTTATATCCCCCCCCCATTTGCTTTAACTGGTGGTATATAAAGATATGCTTTCAAATAGCCTTCCTCAATTAAATTAGGCCTTAAGCCTAGGTGAACAGGAAAGACCACCACTTATTTTATTTTTCAATAGGTATTGCTACTTAGACACTGCTGATATTTAAATATCACTGGTATGTTTGTTTATTTTCTTTAAATAATGAAAAACGTCCTTTTCAGAAAATATGATGAGATTTACTGTGTAATCAAATTAATTAGAATTATCACAATATAAACTTACTTAACTATTTAAAAAAATTATGCAGGGAATCCAGGGCGGATGAGCCCTACAGGACCAGTGGTGTGAATGGCGAAACAGGGAGGGTGAAGGGAGAATGGGTAGGAAGGAGGGAACCGATTGCAAGGAACTATATGTGACCTCCTCCCTGGGGGACAGACAACCGAAAGGTGGGTGAAGGGAGACGTCGGACAGGGTAAGATATAACAAAATACCAGTTTATAAACTATCAAGGGCTCATGAGGGAGGGGGAAGCGGGGAGGTAGGGGAAAAATGAGAACCTAATGTCGGGGGTTTAAGTGGAGAGAAAATGTTTTGAGAATGATGTACAAATGCGCTTTACACAATTGATGTGTGTGTGGATTGCGATAACAGTTGTATGAGCCCCTAATAAAATGTTTAAAAAAGAAAACCCCCCCCAAAATTAAATATTGAATATCTATAAAACTAGTACATAATATATAAAAATTACAGCAGAACAAATATGCAGGGCTATTACTTTTTATATTTATGGTTTTTTTTCTCCTTGAAAATTTATAGCACTTGGTTATTTTTAAAAATCATTTTATTGGGGGTTCTTACAGGTATAACAATTCATAAACAATTGTATTGAACAAACTTGTACATATGTTGCCATAGTCATTTTCAAAACTTTATTTTTCTACTTGAGCCCTTTTTATCAGCTCCTCTTTCCCTTCCCCTCCTCTTCCACCCTCGTGAACCCTTGATAAATTATATTGTCATTATTACTATTATTTCATATCTTACACTGTCCGTTGTATCCCTTCACCCACATTTTTGTTTTTCATCCCAAGGGGTGGGGGTGGGGGCTGGGTTATACATCCATCGTTGCTATCAGTTTCTCTCTCCCCCTGTCCTTATGATATCGCTACTCTTATTACTGTTTCTGAGGGGTTCATCTGTCCTGGGTTCCATGTGTTGAAAGCGTTTATTTGTACCAATGTGCCTACTCTGGTCTAACAGGATTTGTGAGGTAGATAGTGGACAGGCGGGAGCATTAAAGAACCAGAAGAGTGTTGTGTGTTTTATTGGTGCTTTACTCCACCTTTTCTGAATCGTCCCTTCCATGTGACCCATCTTTGAGGAGATACCCAATTGTCTACAGATGTGCTTTGGGTCTCCAGTCTGACCCCTCTCCTTCACATCAATGTAATTGCTTTTTTCTGATCTTCTGACACCTAAGCCTGTCAACACCTCCGTGATCACACATGCTGGTATGCTTCTTCCATGTGGATTTTGTTGCTTCCCTGCTAGATGGTTGCTTGTTTAACTTTGCAAGTCTTTAAGACCCCAGGCGCTATATCTTTTAATAGCCAGGCATCATCAGCATTCTTCACCACATTTGCTTATGCACCCATTTTTGTCTTCAGCAATCGTGTCTGGAAGGTGATTATCACACAGTGCCAGGATATTAGAACAAAGTGTTCTTGTGTTGAGGGAAGACTAAGTAGAGGCCCAAAGCCTATCTGCTAGTACTTGTTTATTTTTAGTTTTATAAATAAAATAAATATTCTGAAAGTGTTGATGAAAGTTTTTGTAAATATTCTGAAAGTGTTTAATAGCATGTACCTTTAAACTTAAATTAATTAAAATTTCCAGAATAACATGGCAGAATGGCATACTCCTCATGTTTATTCTCCTCATGTTTATTTCCCTCTTAATTCTTCACTAAAACTTTAGGAAAGAAGTTTGTTTGTTTATTTGTTTTAATAATGTAACCTCTCAGGATGAGGCAGATAAAAGAGAAATAGCACATTTGGAAGTTTGAAAACAGATGAATGGGTAACAAAAAAAATCCAAACCAAACATACTAGTATCAAGTTGGTTTTGACTCATAACAACCCTTTTTAGTACAAAATAAAACTCCTTTAGGCTTCTGAGATTATACTCTTTACGGGAGCAGGCTGCCTCATGTTTCTCTTGTGGGGAGTTGTTGGTAGGTTTGAATTCCCGGCCTTGTGAATAACAGCCCAATATTCAACCCACTATGCCACCAAGGTGCCTTGAGTGATAATTAGAAGACCTAAAATGACCTAATTATAAAACAGCAACAAAAATAGAGAACAAAGTGTATTTATATTGCTGATTCCTCAAAGTTATGCATAGTGGGGTGTGTGTGTGTAAGTGTAGTGCTGTTGCTGAGAAAGTGTATCGCTGCAGTGGTGATATAGTAAAGAGATTTGAACAAAAGCTATATAAGAAGTTGTTAGGTCCTTTGTATCCTCACTTATTGTATACCACTTCCCAACTACAAAAGACCTTATGAAAGTGAAGAAGAAAACTTCTGGGTGTCTGGGGATAATGTACTGTAGGCAAAGGTACATCAGGTGCAAAATTCTGGATTGAGTTACTGAGTTGTGAGCTTGGCAAGTGAGAAATGGGGAAAGCATCTGGAGAAAAGGTCAGAGGCCAGACTGTGTAGGAATTGTAGGGATGTTAGCTTTCATTCTGAATAAAAAGGGAAGTAATTGGAAATATACTCACTCCTTACTTACCAACATGGTTGGGTTCCAAGGACCAGGTTGTTGTGTGGAAATTGAAAATGTGACCAAATATGACCAAATGTTCCTGAGACTCCAGGAATCCTTTCAGGGACAGCCCTGTTCTGCAGTGCACCCAATGTGTCTCTTCCCTGTGACTTCCTTGTGTCATTTGAAACAACAGAGCTGATCAGGTTACATTCACAGCCCTCAGGAGATTCACCCGACCCTGAGGGCTGTGCTCTCCATCAAACATCCAGACTGCTAAACTTAGCCGGGGTGACCCCCAGCATGCAAAGAAAGGATGGGTCTCATGATCTGTTGTGAAGTGATGGCTACGTGTCTACCCTATGCACTTCTCAAAGGCTAAAGGCCAAATTTTTGGTAAGAACTTGGAGCATTCATTCAGAATATCCATTTTTCTTCTTTCTGTCCTCTCAAGTTTATTCATATTCAAGACTGGGAAAAGAATAGGATTTGGAGGGATCAAAACTTGCGCCTCAGCAGAGGGACAGTGTGAAGTATAGGAGAAAGAGAAATCAAGGATGATTCCAAGACTTTTAATCTGAATGTATGAAAGGATAAAGTTGCCATTTATAGAGATGAGAAGGCTGCAAGGAGGTCTCTTTAAGGGTTTGGTTTTGGATGTGTTGAGTTTGTTTTACGTATTTGAAATAAGAGATGAAAATATGAACTGGAGTTCAGAGAGACCGGGGATGGAATTTGAGAGTTGTCGCCATAAATTAGGTCTCCTAAGGATTGAGTCTCAGAGCACTCTTAACTAATTTAGCAATGAGAGACAAAGGGGGGAAACAGCAAAGAAGATGACTGAGAAGGACAGAGCAGAGACAAAGTTATATACTGGAAGTAAAAATGTAAAAGCCTTTTAAAAAGGTAGGAATAATAACTGTTATGCTCAGAGGTCAAGTAAGATGAGACAACCTTTAGATTTAGCAACAGGTTGCTTATCATAACCAGATGAGTTAATAAATGTAAAAGCCTGATTATAACAGGTTCATTAAAGAATATGCGGTTTACTGCAAATTACTGGAAGGTATGTCTTCACCAATATAAGATGACTTTCATTTAAAGTTGTAACATCTGTAATAATTAGTAGTATTGAAAATAATCTAAATATTCATCTAGGAATAGTTGATTTTACTATGGTATATCTACATAGTGGATTTACATTTATTTAACCATAAAAAATAATGAGGATGATTTTTATGAACTGATATGAACTCATTTTCAGGAAAACCAGCAATTATTATCTTGAACATCCAGATCATGGTTTCTAAATACTTTCCTCCCTAAAGAAACCAGACCAAGCTCCTTGGAGAAATTGTTGGTGCTAATTCTAGGTCAAGGAAAGTAAAAAATTAGTCTGAGACAAACCTTGTGCCAGAAAGAAAGGAAGTACACAATCTCAATGAAAATATTGAAAGAACATTAAAAACAAACAAACAAAACTTCCATGGAGTTGATTCTGACGCATAGCAAACCTATTGTGGGTTTCTGATACTGCAAAAGTTTATGGGAGCAGATAGCTTCGTCTTTCTCTTGAGGAGCAACTAGTAGGTTTGAACTGCTGACCGTTTTTTCATTAAATCATTTTATTGGGGGTTTGTACAACTCTTATCACAATCCATACATACATCCATTGTGTCAGGCACATTTGTACATTTGTTGCCATCATCCTCAGAACATTTGCTTTCTGCTTGAGCCCTTGGTATCAGCTCCTCATTTTCTCCCTCCTCCCCATCTCTTCCTCCCTCCCTCATGAACCCTTGATAATTTATAAATTATTATTATTTTGTCATATCTTACACTCTCCTACGTCTCTCTTCACCCACTCTCACCACTGGTCCTGAAGGGATCATCTGTCCTGGATTCCCTGTGTTTCCAGTTCCTAACTGTACCAGTGTACGTCCTCTGGTCTAGCCAGATTTGTAAGGTAGAACTGGGATCATGATAGTGGGGAGGGGAGGAAACATTTAGGAACTAGAGGAAACTTGTATGTTTCATCATTACCACACTGCACCCTGACTGGCTCATCTCCCCACAACCCTTCTGTAAGGGGATGTC